CGCCCGGCTAGTTTTTTGTATTTTTTAGTAGAGACGGGGTTTCACCCTGTTAGCCAGGATGGTCTCGATCTCCTGACCTCGTGATCCGCCCGTCTCGGCCTCCCAAAGTGCTGGGATTACAGGCTTGAGGCACCGCGCCCGGCCATCTCTAAGAGGAAACCTTTGCATTTGTATCAGTTAGCTTTTGCTACGTAACAAACAGCCCTAAGATTTATTGGCTCAAAATGAGTTATTACTCTTCCCGATTCTGTGAGCTAACTAAGCAGTTCTGGTTTGGGTCATCTAGGCTGGTCCTGAATAGGCTGGGATGGTTACACTCACACGACTGGCCATTGGCTCAGTGTCACCTGGGTGATGGGGATGAGCTGGCCCAGTGGAGTCATCATCCAGCAAGGAGCTGGGGCTTGTTCGTGTGGTGGTGGCGCAGGGTTCCCAAGATCAGTCAGAGAGGAGAGGGCAAGTTCAAGCTTTTGTTTCTGTAATGTCACCGATGTCCTATTGGCCAAAGCAAGTCACACGACCAAAACCAAAGTCACTCTAGGGAAGGGACTCCCTAAGGGAGAGGAATGCAGGGAGCCATTTTTGCAAAAGGTTGGTTGTAGGATTGGACCAAGGGGGTTGTCATGAAGGTATGGGCATTGTGAACATGGGTGTTGGGGGCTGTCTCTCTTTTCTTTTGGACTGTCAGCCTGAGGGCAGGGGCTGCATCTGGAGGGCTCCGTCTTGCAGTACATGGTGATGGCTGGTCCAGGTGTTACCCACCTTTCTCTAGATGTTGCATCACCCCACCCCAGGTGTGACCCTCGCCAAGAGGTTACTAACATTAGCTCACACGTCTCACATGCTCATATCCCCCTCGTCCAGACATGCTACCCCAGGTGCCTGAGAGCCCAGGGGCTCTCCCCAGGCTGGACACAAAGAAGGCTCTAAGCCCTTCCTATTGATGTAACTGATTCTTTCCTCCTGTCTCTGCTTTCTCCTTCATAAAATGTAAATTCATCTGTCTTTGATTTTATAATCTGAGTTTCTACTCTGGTTTCCCCCTACATCCCCAATGTAGCTTTTCATCCCCGCAGTCTCTGTCTCTCTTCTTAGTTTTCCTTTCTTATTCTCTTTCCCTCCCCGCCCCCATCTCTCGTCTTCATCCTGCACTCACACACACACATACAGGTCATGATTCTGCCACTGTAATGGCTTAAAAATTTCCCCCCGATTCCCTAAAGCCTCCTGAGAGTGACAGAGGATTCTAGGGGGTGGGAGAGTGAGCGGAGGATTGAGCAGGTGGGATTCGGGCCCCCATTCCACTTGAATGACAACAGCAGCTTGGCTTTGATCTGTTTGCTATCTTAGGCTTCCATATACAGTATTGTGTGGCAAAGGTTTCACTGCCCAAAGGAAAAGTTCAAACACTTTTTGTGTAACACAGCAGAGCTCATGACAGGCTTAGAGTTAACCAGTCTACTGAGATTAGAGGAGTCTCAGGAGAGCCAGGGTCAACAGCTTTAAGCAGCTGTCTGTGCACTGCACGTCAAACTGGCGTGCAGTCTCCCAGGCAAATAGGACCAGCGTTGGAGGTGGGAGGGTGTGGCTAGGAAGGAGAGATGCCCAGCATCTGGGCATGACATAGAGCCTATGGCTGGCAGTGAGGTCCAGAAACAGCTGGCACAGTGGTATGAGGGACAGTGACCATTCTGGGTAAATGTCAAGAGACCAGAAGCAGCTACAAGGAACCCAGCTCCTGGAAAATTAGGCAAGGCACGCTTTGGACAGAAACTGTGAGAGCTTCTTCTTGCGGTTCCTGAAGTCTGTAACAGCTTTCTCAGGGCTCAGGGTGTGAGAGAAAGACATGTGCCACTCAGGCCTGGAGTGAAGACCAGGACCATGCTTACCGTTGAGCACAGTTCATAGTTGCCGAAGAACGGATGGAATTGTACCCAAGCCTGTGCGCTGCCAACGCTGGCCTGTTTCTGTGTTATTGGCAGCATTTTATGGAATTGGCTGATTTGACTCGAAAAGAAACTTGCCCTGGAAAGGGCCTTTAAGAGAGTACATTGTCCAGTGTTTCTTTTTTTGAGACGGAGTCTTGCTCTGTCACCCAGACTGGAGTGCACTGGTGCAATCTCAGCTCACTGCAACCTCTGTCCCCCGGGTTCAGTGATTCTCCTGCCTCAGCTTACCTGAGTAGCTGGGACCACAGGCGTGCACCACCACGCCCGGCTAATTTTTGTGTTTTTGGTAGAGACAGGGTTTTGCCATGTTGGCCAGGCTGGTCTCAAACTCCTGACCTCAGGTGATCCGCCCACCTCGGCCTCCCAAAGTGCTGGGATTACAGGCATGAGCCACCACACCTGGCCTGTCAAGTGTTTCTTATCCTCTCCTGGACCGCAGACCTCTTTGGAATCCTACTGACTGCCCCTTTCACAATCCCCCAAAACATATTCACCTCAAGGACTTTGCAGACAGTTATACAAGATCATGGTTGGTCCTGAACCTCGTCCTTCAAACCCGTTTCAGGTCAAGAAGTTATGATTTAGACCAGTTATCTCATTTTATACATAAGGAAACCGAAGCCCAGCGAGGATTAGCAGTTTATTCAGGGTTTCACAGATAATCTGTGACAGAGCTGGGTGTTAGTCCTAGGTAGCAATTAACTGTACAGTCAGAAATGCATTTGAATCCTGGCTCTACTTCCCACCTCTTACCAACTCTGCAGTTTAGGCAAGATACATAATCTTGTGCCTCAGTTTCTTCATCTGCAAAATGGAGATAACAATATTACCTACTTTGTGGGGAGTGCTGTGATTATAGGACAAATATGTGAAGAATTTAGAACCAATATCTTAATAAATAAATGGTAGCTCTTTTGTTTTACAATCATGAACCAGAGACAGATGCAGCTCTTAAAGGTTCTACGTATTATTTTAAGAGCAGAGATACAAGTTGATTTTTTAGCCTGTACTTCTGGCTTAAGTACAAGTTCCAACTGCAAGAACAAAGAACTGCCACTATCTAGCATTTTCTTTTTTTTTTTGGTAAATAAAGTAGAACTTATGGTACTGAAATATATGTGGTGATAACACCAATGTCTTAGCCTGTGTGGTTATTATCTGGGAATTTGCGGCTGCTCTTTATGAACTCATGTGTCTCTTTCCAAAGAGTGTATTGGTTAGCATTTCCTGTGTAACAATGTGCTGTATTCACACCCTGAAACGTAGTGGCTTAAAACAGTGGTCATTTACAGCTGGGTGTGGTGGCTCACACCTGTAATCTCAACACTTTGGGAGGCTGAGGCGGGCAGATCACCTAAGGTCAGGAGCTTGAGACCAGCCTGGCCAACATGGTGAAACCTTGTCTCTACTAAAAATGCAAAAATTAGCTGGGTATGATGGTGAATGCCTGTGATCCCAGCTACTCGGGAGGCTGAGGCAGGAGAATTGCTTGAATCCGGGAGGTGGAGGTTGCAGTAAGCCAAGATCGTACCATTGCACTCTAGCCTGGGCAACAAGAGCAAAACTCTGTCTCAAACAAACACACACCAGTCATTTATTCACTCTCGTTTTACTTGTCAATTTGGCTGGTTTGCTTGGTAATTTGGGCTAAGTTCAGCTGGGTGCCTCTTCTGCTGGGTTTTTGAGCTTACTCATGTGGCCACAGCCAGCTGGAAGATTGGCTGGAGCTGGATGGTCTCTGGGATGGCCTCACTCACATGAATGGCTATTGGCCACTCATGTGGGGCACCTTGGTTCTCCTCCATGGGCCTTCTCTAGCAGGCTAGCTTGGACTCATTCCCATGGTGTTTGGTGAGCTGCCAGGAAAAGCAAGTGAGGGCAGGCCAACCTCAATGCTCAACTACTTTTCAAGTCTCTGCTTGTGTGATGTTTGCTAATGTCCTGTTAGCAAGGCACATGGTCAAACCCTGATTCAGGAGACAGAGGAGGAGACCCCACCTATTGATGCGAAGAGCTCCCTAATATTGTGGCTGTTTGTCTCCAATATTCCACACGGAAGTTTAAATAAACAGGGAGGAAATTATTAGTTCCAGAAGAAAGAATGAAAGAGACAGACGGAGGGCCGGACACGGTGGCTCACACCTGTAATCCCAGCACTTTAGGAGGCCAAGGTGGGCGGATCACGAGGTCAGGAGATCGAGACCATCCTGGCTAACACGGTGAAACCCCGTCTCTACTAAAAATACAAAAAATTAGCTGGGTGTGGTGGCGGCGCCTGTAGTCCCAGCTACTCGGAACCTGGGAGGCAGAGCTTGCGATGAGCCGAGATCGCGCCACTGTACTCCAGCCCAGGCGGTGGAGTGAGACTCCATCTCAAAAACAAACAAACAAAACAAAAACAAAAACAAAAACAAAAACAAAAACAAAAAACAAAGAAAGAGACAGAGGAGGGGAGATGGGAGGGGAGATTTGCTGTTTGTTGGAGAGTGACTTGGCATCGAGTCTCCGTTGTCAGTTTAAAACTTCAGGTTGTGACCCTTAGGAGGTGTTTTCACTTCTCACAGTCCCTGGAGACCATCACCTCCTGGCCAGCCTGCCAGCTGCCTCTGACTGCCACAGCTCCGAGACCCCCAGGGCCAACAGCCCTCCCTCCTCACTGGAAAGCTGCACTTAACAGGAGCTTGTGCCAGTGACTCAAAATAGAAATGTTCTGTGGGAGATGTTGACTGGTGTCACTGTGGGGTTTCACGTGATGGCGTTGCATCTGCTGTCCCAGCCTCATGTCTCTGTGGGACGTTTGTTTCCTAATTTGTGGCAGGTTTCTCTTCCTTGCCCTTTTGTGTGCCCTCATTGCCCCCTGCCTTGATTTCCCATCTCTCCACATTGTCTCCAGACTGTTGTGGGCTAGCCTGGGAACTGCCCCACCGTTCACTGCGCTGTTCTTTGAGGAACATGCTGTCCAGGAATGGAGGGGATGGTCACAGCTGGACCTCTCTGCCTCACTCAGGGGACATTTCCTAAGGAAGGGCCTCATTGCAAGGTGGGCCCACGGCTGCCTTGCTCACTGCCGTATCCCTGCACTCAGAACAGTGCCTGGCCTGTGGTCCACAGTCCGTAAAGTCTTGTCCAGTGAATGAACACCCACAGGCAGGGTCAGGCCCGGTCTGAGAATTTGCACCTTGGAGGGTGCAGCTCACAGGCCATCCCAAGGGCTCTTCTGTAGGGCAGTGCAATCCCTGAGGTCAGGAGCTGGCTGCTTTTGCCCTCCACAGCTTCCCTGGGGCCAGCTGCCCTCCCTCCTCACTGGAAAGCTACACTTGATCCTGCAGTAGAGGCTTGTGCCAGTGACCCCAGACAAAACTGTTTTGTGGGGGATGCTGACTGGTGTCACTGTGGGGCTTCATGCGAGGCGCCAGTGTCTGATACTAAGTTGGTCTGTGTGTATGCGGGATGTGTGTGTACTCAGGGCTGGAGGGGATGAGGGGACAGTTTCTCACCCCACAAGCACACCACCTTTGAGGGGCTCAATTCCCATCACAGACATGGAAGATTTATATATTTATTGTGACAAAATTCCAGCAGAAAGCAATTGAGGGTCTCATTCTAGGAAAGGTCCATCTGTTATGGAACTGGTCAGTCTTGTGATGAGAAAGTGACTTGTTCTGATTTGCACAGGCTGCCCTGTGAGCTGGTCATGAAGCTGCACCTACCTGTACCTGTGTGGGTCTAGGTGGAAAAGGCTTTCTCTCCCCAGGAGAATGGTGCTAGGCCCACCTGTTGAAGGCTCTGTGTCTGTCGTAGAAGACCAAGTGCCCCCCATGGTTGGCTGACTGTGTGGCCAAGTGTACCCTCAATGAGTGCCTGTGGATGGCTCTCTCCCTGTGGATGGCAAGTGTCTGGCCATGGATGGCCAAGTGTTCAGCCATGGGGGACCAGGTGTTCCCCAGTGGATGGGTGTCCCCCTCCTCCATGGCTGAGTGTCCACTGCGGGTGGTCAGGTATTCCCTGTGAATGGCCATCTCTTGGCTCTTGGAGGACTGTGCATTTTCCTGGGTACACAGCCATGGCCCCTCCACCGCCCTCTGCCACTTAGCCCATCATCAGCAGATCTGGAGGCGATGGGGGCCTGGCCTGGCTTCCCCAGTCCCTGCAGCTTCTCTGCAAGGCTCCTGGGTGTGGAGCCCATAGGGTGTGTGTGGGGGGAACCGGGGCACGGTAGGAGGCCCCCAGGTGGCTCTAGGGGTTACATCCCTTCCCTTCCCCTGCCAGGCTGAGGCCGCGGAAGGAGCAGGGCACGTATGCCCTGTCCCTCATCTATGGGAAGACGGTGTACCACTACCTCATCAGCCAAGACAAGGCGGGCAAGTACTGCATTCCCGAGGGCACCAAGTTTGACACGCTCTGGCAGGTAGGCCGCCCGTGCAGCTTGTTCTGGGAGATGGTGTGATCCCATGGGGTGCCGGGCTCTGGGGAGGAGAGGAGCCTCTGCCAGCTGCCTGCTCCCTGCAGCTGGTGGAGTATCTGAAGCTGAAGGCGGACGGGCTCATCTACTGCCTGAAGGAGGCCTGTCCCAACAGCAGTGCCAGCAGCGCCTCAGGTGCCTGCAGCGGGCGGGCGGGCGGTGGGCAGGGCGGCAGGAGACCTGGCCCCCAGCCCTCACTGGCCCTTCTGCTCCCCCAGGGGCTGCTGCTCCCACGCTCCCAGCCCACCCATCCACGTTCACTCACGTGAGTTGGGGGCACCTGGAGTGTGGCCTTGGGGACGGAGCTGGGGGGTGGCTGTGGGGGAGGCTGGGGTGGAGGCTGGGGTGCCTCTGGAGCAGAAGAGGCTGTCTCGCCACTGTCTCTGGGAGTCCTCAGTGGCCATGGGTCTCCTGAGAGGGGATGGATGTCCCCAGCTCAGGCCTTGCTGACTCTGTGGCCTTTAGCCTCAGAGACGGATCGACACCCTCAACTCAGATGGATACACCCCTGAGCCAGGTGAGCGGGCAGAGGTGGGGTGTGGGTTGGGGCTCATGCCAAGCCGAGAGCAGGGTCCCTGTCAGGGATGTGGGGTTTCACGGGGATGCCGTGGGCTGGGCCGGGCCAGGCTGTGGCAGTTGGCTTGGTTAACCCCTGTGACACACATGCGCATGCCCATCACGCCTGCCTGTGCGCACGTACGTCCCAGTGTGTACTGACGTGCAGGGAGCACACCTGGCCCAGCCTGGGGCTCCCCAGACACACGTTTGTTGAGCGCCTACTACGTGTCAGTCACGTTCCGAGGTCACTGTGTGTATGAGCCACCGAGCCCTCCTGACATGCCTTATGAAGTGGCTATGGTGATTACCCTCACTTTACAGATGAGAGAGGGAGGGCTCTGTCTACGGGGATGTGAGGCAGTGGTGGGGACGGGATGTGAACCCAGGATGGACCCCAGAGCTCATATTCCTAAAATGTTGCGGGTGCTCCTGTGTCTCATGGGTGGGTGCAGACCTGAACATGTGTGTGCACCGAGAAGATACATAGTTACATGTACACCCAGAAGCTCACCTTCGGAGGCCTTGTAAATGTGGTTGTGTGCTGCATACGCAGACAGGGACAGGTCTGGCCATAGGTGTACACGTACGAATGCACACACATGCACACCCCAGCTGGCACAGTAACGGTGCCACGTGGATACCAATGTACCTGCCCCTAGAGTCCACCCTCCTGTGGCCGCACGGTGCACCCACAGCTGTGGCCAGGAGTGTATGCCAGTGCCTGCGTGTGGATGTGCAGGAACACGCATGGGCACCCACCTGCCTGTGCATGCTCCAGGGACTGCACCCTTGTCTGGGGCTGGTGCTTGTGGGGGCTGAGGCTGCCCTGCTCCCCACGCCCCTGCCCCTGACCTGGGAGTGTACGGCTGTGTGTGCCCAGCGCGCGTAACGTCCCCAGAGAAACCGCGGCCGATGCCCATGGACACCAGCGTGTATGAGAGCCCCTACAGCGACCCAGAGGAGCTCAAGGACAAGAAGCTCTTCCTGAAGCGCGATAACCTCCTCATAGCCGACATTGAACTTGGCTGCGGCAACTTTGGCTCAGTGCGCCAGGGCGTGTACCGCATGCGCAAGTATGGCCGCCCCTGCCGTGGTGGGGGCTCCGCCGCATGGGGACAGAGGGGAGCAGCTTCACCAGGCTGTGGGGTGGGAGCCGGGATGTCTGTCTCACAGCAGTTTGCCTGGGAAACAGACTCTGGGGCAGGACATTGCACACTGGAGGATTCCCTGAGAGAGCTCGGGACACCTGACGGGGGTGGGATGTAGGCCTGGGCAGAGGGAGCTGGCTGAGCTGCAGTTACCCAACCCAGCGGAGCTGCAGTGGGGTCCCCGATCCGTGAGTCCACTGGCCCCGACAGGCTGCCCCTGGGGAAGGTGTCACTTTGGATTCCTTTTGGCAATGGGCCGTTCCCCGTGAGCAACCCGGCTGGGAGCTGTTCTCAGCAGACACTCCCGGCCGCAGGGACATTGAGCGCCTGGGTCCCAACCTGGGTGGCGACCGCAGTTGTCTACCGCACAACTCAAGGGAGAAGAGAGATGGGTGGGTGGGGGTGTGGGGCCGAGCAGGGCCGGTGCCCCTTGCCCACACGCCTCCCGTGGCCGGGTCGAGCAGGAAGCAGATTGACGTGGCCATCAAGGTGCTGAAGCAGGGCACGGAGAAGGCGGACACGGAGGAGATGATGCGCGAGGCACAGATCATGCACCAGCTGGACAACCCCTATATCGTGCGGCTCATTGGTGTCTGCCAGGCTGAGGCCCTCATGCTGGTCATGGAGATGGCTGGCAGTGGGCCGCTGCACAAGTTCCTGGCCGGCAAGAAGTGAGCACCGGGTGGGGCCAGCCATCGGGTGGGTGGGCCCGGGCTCCACCTGGGCATGGTGGACACACACCTGCACGCATGCATGTGTGGGAAGGACCTGGCTCAGGGGCAGCGAGGAGGAGACAGTGGGAGACAGTGAGGAGGGAACAAGGGCCTGGGCGGACCTGACGGTTCCTGCCTGGGGGTCCAGGTGAGTGGTGCCGTGGCTGCCTCCTGGTGGCAGAGGCAGAGGCAGAGGCGAGGAGTGCGGTGGGTTTTGGGGAGATTCTGATGGCAGAACTGCCAGGGTTTGCTGACAGATTGGGTGTGAGAGAAAGAGGAGCTGCTGGAGAGGACAGTGGAGGAGCCACGTGGGTGTGCACGTGGGGACGGGGACAATCAGGCCACATTATCTTTGAGATGCCTGTGAGACCTCAGCACATCAGGAGTGCAGGCAGAGGTCTAGACTTGGGAGTCATGGCGTGTGGGTGATCCCTAAAACCTCGAGACTGGATGAAGGCAGGCGTTTTGCCTGTTTTGTTCACCGCTGTGTCCCCAGCGGGTACTCAATAAGCGTTTTTGAACACATGGTCACCTGGCTTATGCCCAGCTGGGTCAGAGAAGCGTGCTTTGCCCCTGGGAACTTGGCTGGTCTCCCAGCTGACCCCGCCTTCCCCGCCACCCCAGGGAGGAGATCCCCGTGAGCAATGTGGCCGAGCTGCTGCACCAGGTGTCCATGGGGATGAAGTACCTGGAGGAGAAGAACTTCGTGCACCGTGACCTGGCGGCCCGCAACGTCCTGCTGGTTAACCGGCACTACGCCAAGATCAGCGATTTCGGCCTCTCCAAAGCACTGGGCGCCGATGACAGTTATTACACCGTGAGCCTCTGCCCTGTGATGCCCGCGTGGACAGGCTGGGTGGGTAGAGGGTCCCCGAGCCCTGACCCGGCAGCATCTCCCCCTCCCCAGGCCCGCTCAGCAGGGAAGTGGCCGCTCAAGTGGTACGCACCCGAGTGCATCAACTTCCGCAAGTTCTCCAGCCGCAGCGATGTCTGGAGCTACGGGGTCACCATGTGGGAGGCCTTGTCCTACGGCCAGAAGCCCTACAAGGCAGGCGCGGGCAGAGGCGGGTGGGCAGTGCGGTGGGGAGGGGGAGGAGGAGGAGGACCCTGGTCACTCACAGGTGTGTCGGCCCTGGTTTGAGCAGAAGATGAAAGGGCCGGAGGTCATGGCCTTCATCGAGCAGGGCAAGCGGATGGAGTGCCCATCAGAGTGTCCGCCTGAACTGTACGAACTCATGAGCGACTGCTGGATCTACAAGTGAGTGCCGGTGGGGTGGGGACCCGGCCGGGCTGACCCCTGGGACGTCCTGGTGCCGGATGACTTGATGTCGACATAATGCCATCCCACCCAAAGCCCTTCACCCAGTTCATGGCCCTTGCAGCCACCCCCTACCCTCCCCCCCACCACAGCTCTCTGACACACCAGGGTTTGCTGTCCTGCTCCAGTGTGCCCTGCCCTGCCACCCCACCTGGGGGCCTGTGCCTCAGCATCTAAAACCTCAGTCATCACTCAACACATGGACCCTGCAACACACAAACACATCCATACTCTGCTACTCAACCTATGACACTGACACTCGGGGCATGAGACGGTTCTCCAGTACCCACCACCCCAGTCCCCACCAGCCAGCATGCAGCACCCAGCTACCAGACAGGCGAGCACTCAGGTACCAAATTCTCATCTGTTCCAGCCCTACCTCTGCCTGGTGGAAGCCCAACCTTCAAACATCTCAACTCCTAACACCATCAATATCCCAACTTCCCATCAGACAACAGGCAACACACACCCAAACAAGCAGACGCCCTAGACTGCCCATGCAACGTGTGGACACTCTAACGCACGACTCCCCACCGGCCAGCACTTAGGACACTGACACCCAAATACCCAAGCAGCCCAACAGATAAACACCCTACCTGGCCGGTCTACCCTCCTGTGATACGTGTTAATTCGACCTCCATCAGGAAACACCCAGGGTACCACACCCCAGTAGCCAAAGAGGCTAGCACCTAGCACCCCAACACAGTCCATGGATACCCCATGCTCAGTACCATTAATACTGCAGCTCCCCACTGGCCAGACCCACTGCCATGCTCCAGGCTTCTGCTGCTCACCAGCCTCACACTCCCTCTCGTCTAAGCCCTCGCCCAGCCCACTGATACCCTGGCCACAGGTGCACGCGCAAAGCATTAGCTTTCTGTATCCCAGGTCCCCATGGTCAATAGCTGCCACTCTGACACCAAGTCCACTCAGTCCCCTGAGTCGTCACTGGTTAACGCTCAGTAGAGGGTCATCCCAGCACCCTGTGTGTGGGCAGCTCTGCCTCTTAGGCTGTGTGGCATCGCCCAACGCTCTCACACCCCAGAGGCCTCTCCACCACCCAATGTCCCACCACCCCAACAGCCTGCTGACTCTCTGAGCCCCGAAAGTCTACCTCAGCCAAGCACTGTGCATGCCCACCCTATAGTGAAGCTGGGTCCTGGGTGTGTGGTCAGCAGCCTGGATGTACCCCACCCCCACAGGTGGGAGGATCGCCCCGACTTCCTGACCGTGGAGCAGCGCATGCGGGCCTGTTACTACAGCCTGGCCAGCAAAGCGGAGGGGTCCCCGGGCTGCGCACAGAAGGCCGAGGCTGCCTGTGCCTGAGCTCCCACCGCCCAGGGCCTGCAGCCCTCCACGCCGGCTCTTCCCCTGCCTCGGTCCCACCCCAGGCCCTGCAGCCCGGCTGAGCCCTGCTTGGTTGTCTCCACACACAGCTGGGCTGTGGTAGGGGCATCTCCGGCCGTGCTGGCCTTGCATTCCCTGCCTGACCCCTGTCCTGTCTGGCTACGGAGCAGGGAGGCCCCGGAGGGTGGGGCCGTGCAGCCTGGGCTGGTGGCTCCCAGAGGGCCCTGAGCTGAGGGCGTTGCTTACACGGATGCCTTCCTCTGGGCCCTGACCCTGGAGCCTGGGTGTCCTCGGTGGTCAGGTGTAGATAACCAGAATAAACTCAACTTCCCTCTTGTCTGAGCGCCCTCATCTTTTCCGGGGTGAGGGTAGGTGCCAGGGGAGGAGTGGGTTATGAAAAGTGCAGGGAGGTGACTGTTCTTGTGTGGACTGAGCCTGGAAGGGACCCCCGGGAAGACGGAGCTGGGTCCCACTCTCCAACCTAGGGGCACCTTCATGTGAGTGAGGGGCTGGGGTGGAGTGGGGAACCTGAGGCCAGGTGGGTGTGGGCCCAAGGGCTGTGTGCCCGGCTGAGCCCAGCTCCCCTGCCTGGGTGAAGACGGATGTGCTCCATGCCAGGTGCACGTTCGGATCACCTGGATCGATTTTAACCGATGCTAACCCCCCTCCCCCATCCAGATGGGGTCTTCACCACCCCAGGGGTGCCTTGCAAATCCTGAGAGAGACCGTTTTTCCTTGGTGGATGCACGTATTAGCTCCCACATAAACTGTATTACTGAACTTGAAAAATACCAAAATGCAAACATTCTTTTTAAATTGTTTTAAAAAATAATGAATGAAGAAAAATTACATCAGTTAATTTAGTGGTTTCTTAAATCATCTGGTTTGCAGACAGTTCCGTTTTATTAAAATTCACTCGTGAGTCGCTGAACAATGACTTACATTATTATGTAAAATATATCGGACAGCAAATAAATTGTGACTTTCTTTTGTGGTCATCATTATTATTTGTTTCATGTCATCATTCTTGCTGAAAGTAATTTTATTTTATAAGAAGGAGGCATTACAAAATGGTCCTCTAGGTGTCAAGTACACTGGGGACGCTAACGGGCCCCCCAGAAATGTCCGGTGAGGAACCAGTGAAAGAGGGTGCAGTTCCGCAGAGCACCCTCCAGAAGGCGATGTTCCCCCAGGCCGGGGCCAGCTGGGGTCAATCCTGCCCTCACCTCCTGCCTCCCCTCTGGACAGCTCTTTTCCGCCAGCGGCACGACCTCAGGCCCTCACCTCCAGGTCCCCATTCCTGTCCCCTGTTGGGCTGAGCAGACCCAACGCCAGGTCGTGAGGGTGACAAAGTCTGGCAGAGTCAAAGAATTGAGAAAAAGACAGCCTGAGGGATAAAGATAGGACACCAGGGGGCCGTCGCGATCCTGGAGGCTGCCAAGGCCCTGCGCTCTGGGAGCCCACGGTATTATTGATAATCCCACAAAGAAACAGGTGGTGAGAATGTGGAGGTCAAAAGGACACGTTGCATTCAGCGCATGATTTACAGCTGTGATGGTTTAGCATTTATAGGGAACATGTTCTGCTACTTGAGATAATGGGGATACAATCGATCTAGGAGCCTAGGAGGGCTAGAAGCAAGGAGCCAGCAAGTCTAGACACATTCCAGAGGACATTATTTCAGTCCTGCAAGCCCTACTTCAGTTTCCCTCCCAGCACTCCCCTGCAAGGTGCTTGCAGGATCTTTCCTCCTGGCGGCTCTGACCAAGCCCCTTCGCCCTCCCTCTGGGCCTCTGCATTCACTGCTGCCGCTGCCTGGAAAATTCCCCGTCCTCCCCTCCCCGCCACCCCGGGTGATGTGCTCTAGGAAAGCTCCCGTCCCCTCCGGTGATATCCACTAGGAAAGCTCCCGTCCCCTCCGGTGATATCCATTAGGAAACCTCCCGTCCCGCTGGCTGATGTCCGCTGGGAAACCTCCCCGCCCAGGCTTCCGGGGTACGAAGGAGAGGGGCTGAGGGACGCAGTTTCTGATCACTGCTTGCACACCTCCTGTGATGGGCAGCTCATCCATTACCTCTCAAGACAGCCTGGGCTGGTAAGTGAGTTACAATTCTCAGAAAGGTGTTCCAACTGTTGACACCAACCTGGACCCCCATTCCCTTCACCATTCCAAGACCATACCCCTTCCTCCAGATACCTCACTCCTCCTCTATCAATCATGGGCCTATTTCAGACGTGTGTGTCATGAGGCCCACGGGCCCAGGGTGATAACCACTGGCATGGTGGCAGCCCACTGGGCCCTGGAGGTCCAGAGAAGCTCCTGAGCCAGCTGAGAGGGGCCAATCTGGTGGGCTTCCTGTAGGAGAGCACGCCTTAGCTGAGTTCTGAAGGGTGAGTGACATTGGTTGGGGACGAGGTAAGGAAAGTATCCCAGGGAGCAGGAATGGTGTGTAGTGGGAGAGAATGTCCTTCTGGAAACACAGGTTTTGTGGGGCTGGAAGGCTGAGTTTGGACATGGGAGGAAAACAGGGGGCCTGGTGCGGTGATCAAGATGGGAGGCGAGTCACATCCTCGTTGGTTCATATTTCCTGATTGCTTGGCCAGGAAGCAACTAACATCCCCATCTACCAGGTCCATGGCTTTCCAGCATTGGGTTTTACCATTTTAAAAACATTTTTGAATTTTAGGTGGGAAAAATATCTCATTGTGTAAATGAAGACAAATTAGCATTTCTCTTGTGAGTGGCGAAGTTGAACAGTTTTCAGATGTGCGCCGGCTTGACAGATGCCACCTCTTGCTGTCCTCACACCCAGGACAGAGCTCGCCTCTTCTCAGGCCCCATCCTCTGCTCTGAGCAAAAGGCCAAGGGCGTGGGCCGCCCTGTGGCCACATGGGTGAGGACGTGGTGAATCAGTTTCCTGTTCCGCTTCCATCACCTTTTGTCCCTTCAGGGTTTCAAATTTCTCTCTTCTCTGTTGGAGGCTGGGGTCCCACGTGCCCATAGCTTTGTCCTGGTCTAGGGTATCTCTGAGCTCAGATTAGAGGGCTGTGAAGCCCCAGGAAGGTATTTGTGGGGGGCAACTCTGATGTGCTGTGTGCCTCGAACACACAACTTCCTGTTTAATTCTGAAAACATCTGCCTGGGGTGGGGACTCTGGAGCCCATTTTACAGTTGAGGAAACCGAGGCTCTGAGGACTTAAGTTACAAACCCAGCATGCCTACTATCACCATCCCATGGCCACTGTGTAAGAGGCAACTCTACTGGCAGCTTTTCTGGGCTTCATTTAACAAACTCTTCTGTAGACATTAAGGTTCTGTTTAATTCACGTTCTAGAGGAGTGAGGTTGTTAGCTCTCCATCTTGAGGCAAAACCCTTTGTCCCGCCCTGCCCAATCAAGGCATGGAAGCCTGTTTCTCATCTAGGAAGGGGCTGTGGTGTTCAGCTCAGCACCAACCTTATATTTCAGTGAGAGAAATGGAAAAGAAAAATAAGGGAGAAGAAAGCACATACATTCATCCTCCTCGGAACCAAACTCCTGAGTTAGGCCTTGGTTCTGGCTCCAAGGCTGCCACTAAAATTCTACGTGGCCTTGTTAAATCCCTCCCACCTCTGGCTCTCTAGTTTCCCTTCTGTGGAGTTTAATTCTAGCAACGATACTTTTCACACCTAAGCTCCTGGTTCTTTTTTATATCTGCCTGCTTTTGTCTCATAGTGTCCTGTTATTTTTTTGCTTTGAGATAAAGTTTTGCTCTCGTTGCCCAGGCTGGAGTGCAGTGGTGCTATCTCGGCTCACTGCTATCTTCACCTCCCGGGTTCAAGCAATTCTCCTGCCTCAGCCTCCCAGGTAGCTGGGATTACAGGCACCCGCCACCATGCCCAGCTAAGTTTTGTATTTTTAGTAGAATGGGGTTTCACCATATTGGTCAGGCTGGTCTTGAACTTCTGACCTCAGGTGATTTACCTGCCTCAGCCTCCCAAAGTGTTGAGATTACAGGCATGAGCCACTGCACCCAGCCTTCTTTTTCCCTTCTTTTTCCCTTCTTTTTTCCCTTCTTATTCCCTTCTTTTTCTGTTTGAGTTTTTAATATGTTTCTTGCAAAGTCCTTTTAAGGTTGCACTATTACTCTCTATTTCCTCAGATGTAAATTCTTCCAGTTGGGGAGTTTGTGGAAATTTCATGAAGTGGTTGTGAATCCACTGTCTCTTCAGAATATTTGTTGCATGTGTACCTGGTCAGGGCCGTATATGAGAGCCTGTGCTCTTGGCTTCATGCATTAGGGGGCTCTGCGTTGGTACTAGCCTCCTAATGGGTGGGGGGTGGGGAGCTTCAACCCTTGTCTCTGGGCACCTCTGCAGTGGTCTCTTGTGCACCTGGTGATTTCCTGTCATTGCTAAGTGTTTGAAGAATGGTTTCTGTGTGTATTTGGTCTGCCATCTTGAATGAAAGTCCAGTTTCACCATCTGTAAACATTTCACAGATGAGGCATGGGAAGTTCAGGGAGGTGGCCTGACTTGCCCCAGTGCACACAGCTAGGAGGGAGAATTTGAACCCAATGAAACCCTATCCACTCCCGCTCCTTGGCAGGCCCCGGCCTGGTGCTCCCCTCAGCTCTGACTCATTGCTAGCTCTGCGTTCCCTGGACACCTTCTTCCTCAGTGAGCTGGGAGAATGGCCTCTACCCTGCAGACATGCTAAACAACTCAAAATTTTGTCCTGGTGGAAGAAGTGAAAAAAACCCAAACCGGCAGGTTAACTCGGTATATGGACAAGGCCCTGGACTCTGCAGTCTGGCTGTGTGACCTCAGGGAGGTTACTTAACCTTGGGGAGCCTCATTTTTCTCATTTATCACATGGTGATAATAATTGTATTTACTTTTCTGGGTAGTGATATGAAGTGAAAAAATGCATTCGTCTAGCACTTAGTAGCTGCTCATTAAATATTCCTTCTTTCCATGGAGGAAAGCAAACTGGGGATGGGACCCGGAGAATGTGATAGCTGATCCATCAAATTCCTGAAAGGTTTCATGGGCCACAGGGAGGAGAGCTTTTCCATGGTCTGAAAAGGAGAACAGGGACTAACGTGGAAGGATCCAGGGAAGGCAACACAGCTGCTAAGTCCGTTCACTGGGGGGAAGAATAATCACTTCAACAAATGGTGCATAAGGATTTCCATAAACAAAACAAACAAAAAGACTTCTACCTCACACACACACACAAACCAACCAAAGTGCATCAATGACCTAAATATTAAATATAAGAACCGAAACCATAAAACTCTTAAAACAAAGGGGTAAATATTCTTGGATTTCACAGTGGATTCTCAGGTATGACACTCA